CCCCCCCCCCTTTTTAGTTCCTTTACTTTTCAAGAGAAAAGTAGGGGAAGGACGTCCTATTAGGTTCTGCTGTATCTGGGAAGGATGTCCTACTGGGTTCTGCTCCAGGTGTATCTGGGAAGGATATCTTATTAGGTTCTGCTCCAGGTGTATCTGGGAAGGATGTCTATTGGGCTCTGCTCCAGGTGTATCTGGAAGGATGTCCTATTGGGTTCTGCTCCAGGTGCATCTGGGAAGGACGTCCTGTTAAGTTCTGCTCCAGACCACTTTTGGACCTCCACTGAGAGTGGTTCACAAAGCTTGCTGGAGGAGCTGCCTGGAAATCCTCAGCTGCAGTCCCCCTCATCTCTCTGCTAAGTGACGATAAAGCACAGAAATCTACCAGCCGTGACTCTGAGGCATCTTCTTCCTAGACATGTGTGGCGCTCAGCATCAGTGTGTATGGAGAGAGGCTAAGCTGACACCCCTTCTCATCATGTCTGGTGACTGTACATAGATGTCAGCTGGTGCACCACACAGGTGGAATGACTGGCGCCTGCGCAGTTCTGCGAGGCCAGGCTGCTTCCCACCTGCAGCAGTCTGAAGGAGGGGCAGGGGCTTGCTCTGGCAGTGTGGCCTGAGGCCATGTGCCCAGCTTGCCAAACACCCGGGGTGCCCTGGGGCTTTATCCTTATGATCTTCTGGCAGTCTTCTGGCTTGGGCACCTTTGGGTTTGTGACTGTGAGTGGGATTGATTCTCATATGCTTCTTTTAAAATAAAAACCAGAGATAGAGTTTTAAGCCCTGCCCCCAGGTGAACTGAATGGTATTGCAGAAGTTATGGCTTCAATGATGTATAATAACTGACTATTTAAGAGTGACATGAAGTAATAAGGTGGAGCTAGACTTCATGCTAGAGTCTTAAGTGAGCATTATCAGGCTCTGAAAACATCTTTTGTTCTTATTTATTTGAGCGCATGTAATGGATGCTTAAAAGCTGTTGAGATTTGGTAATATGAAGTAATCTTTAAGGTGCTACTTAAGCAAGGGTGTGATTCCATTAAACTTAAGTCATTAATATGCACTCATTTAAAGCCAAGGCAATAACTATCGATTTGCCAGGGTAGCAACTTTGTTACTAGTATTACTAATGTGCATGGTAATGGTCCCCTCTGCCCACAAGTTACTGTGGCAGTGCTGTATCAACTCTGTAAAAATAAGACTTGTGTGGTGAGTGGGTTTTATTGTTTCATTTTGCTCAGTTCCAGTTCGTATCATCTTACTGCAGTGGCTGGGCTCTCTCTACCCGCCACGACAGTGACATTGATGTTGTTGACGAGGCCAAATCAGGAATAGCCCCTGGCGTTATTTGGCTGCTGATACCAGAGTCCAGACTTTGAACATTCTTTTTCACTGAGTTACTTGTACAAAAATTAATGCTAAAAGGAAGTAGAATTCATTTTTCTTTCCCCCTCCCCCTGTGGATGGTGATGAGTTATTGTTTAGATCTCATACTAGTAAGGGATTTATAATGCCTGTTGGTATTTTAGAATTCCCTGGTATTGGGAAGGTCTGTCCCTGGACACAGGGCAGGAAGTATCCTTGATTTTTGCTTGTTTCCTTGATGACTTGTTAAGTTTACTGTTTTACACAAATAGGATTCTGGATGAAATATGCTCTTGATAGAAAGTGTGTAAGTAAAACAGGGGCTTTCCGAAAGTGCTCTGTCTCCTGTAACTATAGAAGAGCCAGGCCTTGGGGAAGGAAGGTGGGTGAGGGTGGCAGAGGTGGGAGGTGGACTTTGAGTGGCCTTCCCGTTGGGCAGGTGATGTTGGTTGCTGGTTGAGAACACTGACCAGGTATAGGAAGCTCACAGGACTGACCATATCAGTAGGACCATAGGGCAGTTTTGATAACTGTGGTTTATTGTTGAAAGATAATGTGGGATGGGAAGTGATATTCAGAACACTAGCATTCCGTGAAACCAAGATTTAAAATGATCTTACCATTGTGTGGTGCCTTGTAGCTTTCAACTGCTTTCATGCTGATCTTTTTTTTAGTTCTTTAAAAGTATTTCCCAAAGAAATGATGTTCTCTTCTTTGTACAGGTGAGGAGACTGAATTTCAAATGGTTAGAAAGCCATGATGAGCATTAGAATCTTGGTTTCCTGACACATTGTCAGTGTCCTGAGTGGTGAGTGAGCTGGTAGACCTTATGGCTTTTGAGAGGTCAACGATTGGGGATCCAGTGCTGCAAGGAGCTCTGTGGCAGTTGTGGGTACTCTTGGGGGGGGGGCGGGAGCAGTGGCAGCCCCCCCCTCAGCAGTCTGTCCCTGGCTGAGCAGCAAGTCAGTGAGGAAAAAGCTGGCATTTTCTTTCTACTTGGTTGTAAAGGGGTAGAGACTTTGCTGCATGTTTTCTTAGCTGGTTGCCTCTAGAACTTTGCATTAAAAATCTAATCTGTCCTCTAGATTTAGGGGTGGGTACATAGGTGTTCACTGTATAAGTCTTCACATTTTCTGAATGCTTGAAAATTTCCTATGTTTCTCATGGAAAATAAACGTAAGAAATGCAATCCTTAGGGTTAACTTTTCTGGATAGCGTCCTTTGGAATCCGGAGGCTGGATATGGTATGGTTTTTATCAGAAATGTTAATCGTTTTGGTCAAGAGACAATGCTGTTAATTCTTGGTTGTGTTGTTTTTGGGAAAAATATTCTAAATGAGGTTCCAGGAATAACTTCTTCAGTGTGTCTACCAGAAAAGAGTGACCTTTTTCAGAGCTTCCCTACAACACTCACCAGAATGATGGCGATCACGTTTACGCAGCCCCCCGTCACGCACGAGGCGATCAATTTCCAGTTTGATGTGCGGCGCTTTTATTCCAAGCGAAGGGCCCGTTCTGATCTTCTCTGGCTCCTGCAGGGATGGGCCCACATCTGATACACGCGAACCATGCTCACCTCTGGTGCCCGGAGAGCTGGCGCTGCGTCTGTTGGAATGCAGGGTGCACGGCGCGGACTCCTGGATCAGAGGCTGCAAGCAGACCCCTTCTTGGTGTGAACGAAGTCTGTTCTCTCTGTGGTGGTGGACACTGACATATATTTGAAGCCACCGCTCACTGATTACTCACTGTGTGTTGTATTAAATGTATTACGTATACTATCTATTAGTACTTGAAACCCAAGTGTAATTGCATTTGTCTCACAAAAAGGGAAAGTGTTCAGAGAGCTTGCCCAGGCTCCGGCGAGCGTTAGGTCCCAGTCATCTGCTTTGCCCTTGGAGCTCTGTCCGACCCTGCTGTCACCTGCTTGTCACATGATAGCTTTCCCAGTGTGAGGCCCACCCTCTTGCAGTAAGTTAGGCAAATCCCAGGTAGGAAATAGAATTTTTAAAAGACGGCAAGTTTTATGGTATATGGGATTTTTCTTTTTTTTACATAGTTCCTTTCATATACCCTAAATGATATAGTTTTTCCATCTGATGTAACAATTAACTTGATTACCAGCCATTACTGGCACAGGCACACCTTGTTTTATTGCGCTTCATAGATGCTGCATTTTTTTACAAATTGAGGGCAAGACCCTCCATCAGCGAGAAGGTGACTCATTTTATTGCAACACCTGCATTATTGGGGTGGTCTGGAACCAAACCCACGATGTCCCCAAGGTCTGACTTACAAAATTCTGTGAAGGACATTTTGGGAACCTGTAGTCTCAGAAAAGATCCTCTATTTTTCATTACCAAAATCTGCTTAATAAAGTTGTTGGGATTGTGGCTCTCTTTTGTTTTCCTATTTTTGTTTTTAGGTCCTTGAGAGGAAGCAATTTAGTGATTACTCATAATTGTGAAAATAACCTAGTGATCAGAGAATCTCCTTGGACAAATCTGATAGCTTCCTTTCCTTTAAGTAAATAAAAAAAATCTTAATCCAGGTAAATGTTGGCAGGAATGACCGTTTTTAAAACAGATAAGATTTTTGTGTGGCATGTGGCCATCCTGGGATATTGTCTCTAGAATATTCTAGAACATCTTTATTTTCACAAGTATGTACCCTGCTTATTCCCTGACTACTCTTGTTTGCACCCGATTTTTTAATCCATGTATCCAAGATGGGAATTACACGTGTGCGCGTGCGTGCGTGACGTCTTTTCCTACAATATTAGCCTTTTGAATGTTGTTTTTGGACAGGACAACTTCCCATGTGCTCATTCAGAAAGCATGTAGCTCCTCACCAATAAAGACAGATGTTCCAGCATCAGGAACCTGGAGGACTTTTCCTGTTATATTGAGTAAATAGGTCCCAGAACAAAGATGTTTTTGTGTACTCTGCATTTACCATGAACTTTGTTGAAAACGTAGAGCGAGTGCTTCCCCAAATACTGGAGACCACGTGACTCGCCTAAACAGAAAACTGGAGTGTTAATGCTGTCAGCGGATTGTTTTGCATATTTATGATTGCACCTGTTCTGTAAGCTGTGAAAGCCGCTCCGTCCTGGCCCTGCTGGGGCCACGGTTACCCGAATTAATGGAAGCAAGATCGTTTGCCAGTCCAAATATTTTAAATCTCAGGCTGCCCCTTGTCTGCTTAATAACCCAGTTTTAAAGAAAGATACAGTTTGACTTTCAGTGGGTTGTATTAATTTGGTTATCCATGGCCGGATCGTTACACTGCATTGTGAATTAGTTTTATTTTTGGATTTGTCCTCATAAGGTAGAACTGTAGGCCCAGAGGAAGGCGTTAACATTGTTACCGTAACTTAGACTAACTCTTCATTTTTATGAGATGATAGCCATAATCGTGGATCTAATTTCTGTTTCTCACTTTGTTCTAAATTCTAAGCTCCTTCTTCGGTCACCATGTCTCCCATGTTCTTCTCTCTCCATCTTGTCTTCTATTTTGTCTTCTTTCTGACCCAGCACATGGTGTGTGGGGGTCCTGACGGCTGTGAATCTTTCATAACTGTGGAAAGGACTTTTTCTTTTGAGCAAGACAGCTCTAAACAAATTTCAGTTGCCCAAGTATCACCTGTTTTGTGGATGGTCTGTGGACAGTATTAACCTTTTTTATTTATTTTTATTTTTTATTTTTAATATATCTTTATTGATTTCAGAGAGAGGAAAGGAGAAGGAGAGAGAGATAGAAACATCAGTGATGCAGAGAGTCATTGATCGTCTGTGAGCCCGCAACCGGGGCATGTGCCCTGACCAGGAATCGAGCCCTGATCGCCTGGAGCCCAGGTTGACGCTCAACCGCTGAGCCACGCCCGGCCAGGCAGTCTTAACCTTTTTTCTGCGGGGTTTTTGGCTGACCTTTCTTTGCCCTACTCATGACTCCACCAGCCCATGTGTGTTTATGCTCTGCAAGCCTGTTTCGTCATGCAAAGTGGTTAAACAGAGCTCTGCAAATAAGTCACACATTGCCACACAGGCGCCCTTCCCTGGCATTTGAGTGTGGATTGTGTTTTGTTACCGTGAGCGACCCTGAGGATCCTGGCCTTTGGGAGCACCTCACATTGAAGTGATATAAAATGTGAAATCGATTACAGTATCATTGTAACTCTCGGAGCAGATGACAAAGACGCTGTCATCTGCACAGCAGCTGAGATTAGAACCCATCAGGTTTGGATGTGGGTGACCTTTCGACAGAAGCGGCTGGCTTTTGTCATACCTCGAAGGCTGTGCTGGCACTGTTTTCTGTTTTATACTCGGAATTTCTACAGTTTCTAAAGGAGATTCTTGCTGATTTTAAGGGGGTAAATGCCCTTAGCAATAAAAATGCTCTCTGAAGATTTAAATTGAGGTTTGCCGTATCGTTTGTTGTTTACTATTTAATATTAAATAGAGTCAATGTGTAAGCAGCGGAATGTGCCCACCCCAGTGGGTGTGCACGCAGGTGGAGGTGTGTGCATGCACACTTAGCCCCAAATGGGATCAGGACACTGCCGCGTGATTCCGAAGTTAGGCAGAGGTTGCTTTTGCCATTTGATAGCTCTTGGACTGTCTTTTCTTCCCTTAAGCACTTAACTCATTAGCAGTTTTTTGAGCGAGGTTCTGCATTCCATGCTGTGGGAGTGGTGACAGTTGTTTTTATAAATCCAGAAGGAGATAGGAGAACATAAGCCCTTGGGGAAGTTCAGTACAGATGGAAAAGGCAAATTATTGCGAGGACCCACCACAACTCCATGTGGAATTCAGTGCCAGAGGAGTGACCTCAGCTAGGAGAGCTCTGAGTTTAGACCAGAGGAAGGAGCAGCTGGGTGACGGAAGGGCCTCAGTATGCCTGCTAAGCGGCCTGGGCACCGCGCCTTTGGGGGCCAGGAGGCGGGCCCTGGGGCCTCTGCAGAGGGGCAGAGACCAGCTGTGCTGGGTGTGGCCCATCACTCAGTGTGCCCCGGCAGTGCTGTCTGTGGCTCCTGTGTTCTGGGTGAGACATTCTCACCCTAATTTCCCTGGCTGGCCGCTGGCTTTGGGCTGAGGCCTGGGACGCTGAGCTTAACGGGACGATGGCATCCGGGCCTTTCCTAGTTTTCAGAGGCACATGTGAGTGATTGGGGCTTTTCTTTGTTTTTTTTTTTCTCTATGAACGTCCTACCCAGTGGAGCCATGTGTAAGGGGTGATGTATAACTTTGACGCTATTATTTTGAGTAGAAAGATAAGCCCTGAATATGAGGCTCTAACATTGGAGATAACCTTGCTCGACCATCTCCCTTTCTGAGCAAGTTTATGGAAGTGGGAGGTGCAGAGACTTGCCAAAGGTCACCAGTCAGCAGCAGAACCAGGTGTCAGTCTCCTCTCTCTCCGTCTTCTCCCCCTTGAGGCCCCCTCCCCTCCAGACGCCTGTGGAGCATGCGTTTACCTTCCCTCCAAGTTTCCTCTTCTTTCTAAGGACCCTCCTTTCTTTTCTGTCCCACTGGGGTTCAGTGGGATGTATAAACATTCCCCAAGAGCTGTGAATTTGTAATTGGGGTGACTTGACCCCTTGTGATGGGTCGAATGGGTACAGAGAGGTGGTTGTCTGATCTCAGAGACCCAGGTCACCCCTGAGGCTCCCTCTGAGGCAAGTGCCGGGGGGGGTCCCGGTCCCCAGGAAGCGAGGCCCCTCCCCAGCCGTCCCTCTCCACTCAATCCTCAGCCACTATGACCCCCTTGGAGGCGGAAACCTTCAATTATCTAGGCTGTGAAAGGAAGACCTATTTTTAAGATCAGAGAAGGTTTCCTTTGTCTGCCTTCTAGTCAGGATGAGCGCCCTGCACGTTTTAAGTGTCCTCTTTCCAGGAAAGAATGAGTCTTTTTCGTGGCGTAGCTGTGGGCCAGCTGCATCGTTAGCAGAGTGGGTGTGTGGGCAGCCTCTGCCTTGCAGCCAGGTCTGCCCTTCAGGTGAGGTGGCCAAGGGGCCCCCTGTGGGAGTGAGGACCCAGCTGCGGGAAGGGTTAATGCTGGCCTGACAGGTGAGGCATTCAGCTTAGTACCATTTGATAGACAAGTATTTTTAAGTCTGTAAAATGAAAAAGGGCAGCAAGTGGCTCAGACCTCTCCTCAGAGGACCACTGAACCGTGACAATGGTAACAGCCCCCATCCCTTCTCTCCAAGCCTTCGCTGGGCCTCTGCCTGAAGCCCCCTCCTCCTCTGGCACAGTCTTGCCCACTGCTTGGGCTCACCTTCCGAGGACCATACTGTTTCCCTAAATGCCTGGGTATTTATCAGCCGAGATTAGTAAAAGTGTATCCCAGGGCAAAATATCAGTCACTCGCCTCCCATCGCAGAGGCCTCATCTTGTCACACACGTGACTCTGATAATCGGGCAGCATTCTTTGTGAGAAACTCGCGTATTGCGGAACGCTGTACGTTACAACCCCGCCGCTGTAAGCAGAAAGTCCGGCTGCGTAGAGGACGACTGGAGCTGTCACGGGGGTCCCCTGGGAGAGAGCAGTGCTGAGGGCCTCCTCCCTTTCTCTTGACACAATTTCATGTGTATTTTAAACGAAGAGCTTTGGCCTTCCAGGAGAATGGAAATGATGATGGATGGCCTAAAGTCCTCTGAAATAATAGTGGAAATGTTGGCCGTATAAACCAAGACAATCGTTGGTCTTTACAAACACATTACTTTTATTCAAACTGAAATGTCTTCTTGTTCTCCCCCCCCGTGACCAAGGAAGGTGGTCTGTGCTCCTTCCCACTTGACTTTTTCTTCCGGACACTTCTCAGGGGGCTGAGCCCTCTGCTTCCAGCGTGGGGTGTGCAGTGCTTCTCAGGGAGGGGTGTCTGTGTCTGCGGGGGGGGGGCCCCATGTTGGTTCCTGGGGGATTTGCTCTCCCCTTGTTGGCTCGGGGAACGTGATGGCTCTGACTGCATGCCGAAATAAAAGTACCTTTACCTGGTCCCCGTGCCCTGAGGCCCAGGGCACATCCCCTCCGTCACCTGCAGAAAGCCAGTTCAGTTGTCACTGACATTGCTCTTGACACTTCCAACAGGTGCGGGCGGGTATGCCGGCCCCCACACTGACCTCAGCTCTATTTTACCACCTACTTTTTCTTTCCGGACGTGTAGACAGCTTGGCCATTTATTGCCATCGGAATCGCAGTCTGTGGTGGGGTGGGGTGCTGTCCCTAGGCGGTTCCAGTGCAGCTGGCCAGCCTTTGGGGGCCAGTGGCTTCTCCCACCCATCTGAAGTTAATCACATATTTCTTCGTAAAGTGTGTCGCGGTGGAAAGAAGTAGGAGGCAGGGAATTCTGGTTCAGTCCTGACTCACTGGCTCTGTGAGCTTGGGTGTT